CTGCGACTGCACGTCCCAGCCTGGCGGCCAAAACTGTCGGTGAACCTTCATCCATTGACTGTAAACGCGTAGTGATGGATGATATAATCGACAACGCAGTTCCTGGGATGGGGGGATTCCACCAAACCGACGGGGTGAGGGGTGGAACCTGGGGCGGGAGGGCAGGGGAGGTGAGAGTAAGCCATGGGAGGAGGGGTGGCGGACTGCGCCCTCCCGGTGTCCGCCCGACGTCCACCCGGATCGAAGGATCACCTGGGACGGCCCTGGAGAGTGACCCTACGGGAGGGCAGCCCGGACTGGGGTGGAGCGGGAGGGAGCCTGCTGCTGCGGCCTCGCCTCGGCCTCTTGCGGGAGCCGGACGCCCCGGCACCCAGCCCGTAAGCACGGAAAACCCGGGGCAGTGAGGACCGTGCTAAGGACGCTTCTGTGCCGTGGACCCCGGGGTGTGACCTGTGCCAAGGCCCAGCACCCGAGGGAACCTTTTATCTCACCCGCATGTTGGGGCCTGGGGTGGAGTCCACTCCTGTTGACACCAGTTGGTGAGCAGTCCTGGGAGCCTTCCCCAGAGAGCCAGGAGCGAGGGCCAAGTGGTGCGGGCTTCTGACCCTGCCCTGTCCATCCCCACAACAGTTCGGTGTTAAGTGGAGTGTGTTCTCAGTTTAGCCTGGTCGAGAGAAAGAGCCCAAGTGATAAAAATGATAAATAATTAAAATGTAGTTAAGGTAATTCCCATGGTGCACCTACACAATTCTCTACAATGTGATTTCACTTTCTACTGATTTTATTCATTAAAGATTTCAAACTACTTAAAATCCCCAAAGTCCTAACTCCCTGGCGATTGATACCACATTGTCTGTAGCTGGTTGGTCCTGGGGGAGTCCACCCTACTTGGCAGGCTTGTACCACAGGCCCTTACACAGATGTTAGATGTGTCATGTAAAAAAATTAATATTGCTTGACAAAAATAATGATTTTGTCACACTTTTTAAGAGGAGTCTCAAATCTGAGAGTCTCTCTTTAGCCCAAAATGGTTTTTACACAAAGGTACCTAATCATTTTTACTGCCAACCTTGAAGCCTATAAACACCCTGAAGGAATGATGAATGCTGAGTTAACCAGGTGTCTTGTGTCTCGGAGCCGGGCTAGTTAAAGCTGCAGACCCGATTCCCAGACAACCTGTGGGAGATCGTCGCACCCCACCCCTGCACCTCTGCCAGTCAGCTTTGTCCTTTCCAAGCACTTTAAAACACGTTTTACATCTTATCTTCTATATTCACCCTACAAAAAAAGAATTTTATTTAAGTTTGAATCCTATGTCTGGTCATAAATTGTACTTTTCCCCATAAAAACCTATGAAACCACACCTGTGAGGCTGCGATCCTAAGTAGACGAGGGTTAGCACAGGTGTTTCTCTTTTTCATAACAAAGCCAGACTCTGCACTGAGGGAAAGCAGCTTGGCTCATTACAATTCAAAACAGCCAAAGAATAAAAACACAAATTTCTTCTGCAGAGCACAGGGAACTATATTCAGTATCTCTAGTCACCTATAATGAAAACATATGAAAACGAATATACGTGTGGGTATGGATTTCTGAGATGGGGTGCTGTACGCCAGAAATTGACACATTGTAACTGACTGTACTTCAATAAATAAAAGTACAGTATACAGGAGCAAAAAAAGCCAAGGGTAAGGACACTCTGGCTCAATAAATAAACTGATCAGTCTGTTGCTGGGCCAAAGTCGGGCACCAAGGCAAGCGCAGGACCTGGGGAGGCTCACTTGCTTCACCCCAGCCCTGGCTCTAGTGTAGAAGAAACATTAATTAAGGAAGGCCAATCAAATACCTGTAAACAAATTATTTATGTATATTTCCATGTAAATAAAAACTACAATGAAGTACCACCTCACGCCGGTCAGAATGACCATCATTAAAGAGTCTGCAATAACCAATGCTGGGGACGGTGTGGAGAAAAGGGAACCCCCCGAAACTGCCGGTGGGGATGTACACTGGTGCCGCCAACTGTCTCTCATTGGCTCTAGCTGGATGGGGCGCTTTCTCGACGTAGTCACCGTGGACAGGAGATACTATTCTGATTTGCTAGGACTGAACCCCTCATGCACCCCAGACTGCAGCGTCTACACTACCTGCAAGACTGGGCCTGAGAGTGGACATTGGGACACTTTCACTGGAAGAAAGGGAAGTGAATGGTACCTGACTGAACAAGAAAGTTCCCTCCAGTGTGGCCTGAGGGGTCACATCCCTTTCACCCACCTCTTAGCATCTGTATCCCGCCTTGCGCTGCCGACTCGAACTCTGGTCTCTGTGCTCTGCCACTTTTTCTCTGGCGTAACTCACTTAAAAAAGATTTGGAAGGTAAACAGCACAAGAAATCAAATGGAATTTGCCCTGCTGGGTTTGGGCTTGTCTGGAACCCGGGATCCTTTGTTTTCCTTTCCCGTTGCTCCCTCTTGGATTGGGACCGTCTGTCCCGTGCCCATCCCACCATCGTACTTGGAAGCAGACAACTTCTTGTCTGGCTCCACAAGCTCACAGCTGAAGGAGAATGTTCCCCTGGATGATTCGCACAGTAGGTCTCACCTGTAACTGACCTGAATGATCCAGATGATGAGACGTAGGGATTCGGGGTTGATGATATTTGGGTGAGATTTTTGGACTTAGAGTTGATGCTGAAATTAAGACTTTTGGGGATCTCAAGATGGCAGAATGTATTTTGCATGAGGGAAGGACATGAATTTGGGGGAACCAGAAGGCAGACTGTTGTGAGTTAAATTGTGTCTCCCAGAAGGATAGGTGAAGCCCTCACCCGTAGTATCTGTGAATGAGACCTTGTTTGGAAATAGTCTTTGGAGATGTTGCCAGGTTAAGATGAGGACATACTGGATTAGGGGGGGCCCCAATCCCACTTGACTGGTGTCCTTAAGAGGAGGGAAGCCTGTACACTGGTAGAACAGGGAGGACGGCCACCTGAAGAGGCAGAGCCTGGAGCGATGCTGCCCCAAGCCAAGGATGCTCGGGCCTCCCCGAAGCAGGAAGCAGCAAGGAAGGGTCCTGCCCTCAAGGCTTTGGAGGGAGCACGGCCCTGCTGACGCCTTGATTTTTGACTTCTAGCCTCCATAACTGTGAGACAGTACATTTCTGTTGTTTCAAGTGTCCCCATAAGCCTCCCCTGCCCTGTTTTTGGTGCAGTCACCCCATAGTATCTGTGGGGGATTAGTCCCAGGATCCCCCCACGGATACCAACATCCACGGATGCTCAAGTCTCTTACGCACAATGGTGTATTATTTGCATATGACCTGCACACATCCTCCATATGTTTAAAATCCTCTCTAGATTACTCATAATACCTAATGCAATGCCAGTGCTATGTGAATAGTTTCCAGGTTGGCAAATTCAAGTTTTGCTTTTTGGAAATTTCTGAATTTTTTTTACAAATATTTTCCACCCGTGATTGGTTGAATGTGTGGATAAGGAACTGTAGCTTCAGAGGGCTGACTGTCCCAGGAAACTAACAGAGTCAAGTCTGGCGAACAGTTTATTAAACAACTGAGTTGAGTTGAATGGCGATTAAAACCCCGGGCAGACAACGAGCAGAGGATCCCACAGCTTCCTGGGACGTGTCACTGCCACCAGCCTGAAGCTTCTCAGTCGGTGATGAGGAATACGCTTCCTTTTCTTCCCCTGTAATACCCTCTGGAGTTCAGCTGAGACAGAAGTCATCCCACGGCTCCTTCGAGCACCAGAGTGATACTAAAACACTCCTTCCACCGGGATGTGCAAAGGATTCTACAGAGGACGGGAATGAGGAAAAATATTAAATGAATTGTAACAGACAGGGCAGGAGTTTTTAAATTTGCTCTGGGAATGATAGCGAATTACGCAGGATCAGTTTTAGGAGTAACTTTCCAGCTTTCACCTTTTCATGGTTAGGACAGTAGTGATACAGTTAATGTAGTAAGATCATCAAACAACTGGTCAGGGGGCTGGGGAGGCAGATTGCCAGCCGCGCCCGGTCACGAGCTGCTGAACAGGAGGAACCCTGTGAAGGTCGTGTCGTCATCCTCGTCCGCGAACAGGCCGTTGAACCTCTCCCCGCCCGTCACCTGCAGCCACACCTCGTCCCCAAGCTTCAGCTGCAGGACGAGGCCGCCGGACGCCTGGTCCTCAGAGCTCATGTACCCGTCCTTGGTGTGCAGCATTTTTACCCCATTTTTGACCAGGGACACCTGGACGTTCCTGGAGAAGACTGTGACATGGTAGGTGAAGTAATAGGCCCCGGCGATGTGGCAGGTGAATTTCCCCGTGGCCACGTCGTAGTGGTTGAACTCATTGTACAGGATCCTGTCGAATCTGATGGGGACATCCGACGGCGGGAACTTGCTCAGCACCGTGAGCCCCACGGTGAAGGCGCTTTTGGGCAGGACTGGAGTCTCACCAATTTTCCCTTTTTCTCCTCGGTCCCCTTTCCAGCCTCTCACTCCCCGGACCCCTGGCTCACCCTGGGGCCCCAGGGGTCCAGGGTCTCCCTTGGGACCAGGCTTGCCCACGGGGCCCACGGGGCCGGGTAAGCCTGTTGGGCCCGAAGGCCCAGTGCTGCCCTTTGGCCCGTCTGGACCAAGGGGCCCCACGTCACCCTTCTCCCCCTTCTGCCCTGGGGGGCCCACGTCTCCTCTGAGGCCTTTCTCTCCCACGGGGCCCACGAGTCCCTTTGGCCCGTGTTTCCCTGGGGGTCCTCTGGCGCCCTGATCGCCTTTCATGCCCTTTGCTTCAACGTTTCCATCTGCCCCTAAGTAAGACAAGAAAGAACAGAGGAGGGGATGCTGTGTGAAAACAACCTTGTTTTTCCTATTTTCAAGCCTACGAACGAGATAAAGACATGCGCAGGTTCAGCATGAGCGCAGGGTTGGAAAGTTGACTCCTAACTTGCACACAAACCATGCTTGGACTTGGATCCCCTCAGTCGGCATTCGGACTCACATGAGAAATGACAGGTCCTGGCGTCTGAGTCTGACCGCCAGCGGTGCCTGTCCTGAAAGGACACATCTTTGGAGGAGGGGGCGGCAGAATGACTCGGGCGCTTCAGTACCTGCCGTGCAGTCCTAAGGATGCGGTGGCCCCTGAGAAGCTCCTCCCGGGACTGAACACAGATTCCTGGACTCAGATGGTGCACCTCACTCGCTACCGGCCACCAGCCCGTCCATCGTGCCAGCGCATTGCCCCGTCCTGCTTCTGCGTGTCCCCAGGGCCTCCCACCCCCCATGCCCCGACGGGAGAGCCGTGCCGACGAGCCCGGACCCTGGAGGGAGGTGCCGGGACCCAGCCCTGTCTCCACCGCTCACACACTCACCCACGCCCACCTAAACCGTCTCCGCCCCATGAAGCTAGGGTGATGAACTGCCTCCTTTAGAGGCCGTGGTAGTGAGTGAGTCAGTACGTGGAAGGCACTTAGCACAACCTGGCACGCGTGAACATTATCCGTCTCTGCCATGACGACCATGCTCCCTCCCCACCAGTGACAGCGGCTAGCGTCCTCCCCGCCCTCCAGTGCCAGCTCAAGGGCCACCTTCTCCTGCAGGGCTGGGTCAGGACCCAGTGGCCCCCTCGGGGCCCAGCGGCTAAATCAGGCTTCAGTAAACGGTGGCGCACAGGCCACATCCTGCCTCCACCTATTTTTGTATGGCCTGCAAGCTAAGAATGGTTTACATTTTTAAGCAGTCACAAAGAATGTCCCACCATCGGTGACAATTATATAAAACTCAGGCTTCACTGGAACACAGCCCCACCTCCTAACACATTGTCCACGTGGCTTTTCCTACGACGGCAGAGCTGAGTAGTTGTGACTGAGACCGAGTGGCCCACAAAGCTGAAAATATTTACTGTCTGGCCCTTCACGGAAAGTCTGCCCGTCTCTGCACTGAATCCGGAGCAGCTGCAGAGCAAGCACTGGGTGGCCTTCATCACCGGGTCATCCTCAGAACCTCGTAAGGGACTGGGCCTTGGTAAACACGTAATAATCCTCATGAACACACTGACAGCTCAAAGGAGAGTGCAGCAGAGTGGAGAGCCACCTCTGACCTGGTTCTCCTTTCTCTCCGGCCATCCCGTCCTTCCCTGGACCACCTGGATGTCCTGGTTCGCCTGGTGGAAGGTGGGAAAACAGGAGAGAGTTAAAACTGCATTGTTTAATAAACAAAAAACAAACAAACAAAAATTCCAGTTTCAGTTTCCCATGGGTCCCAGTCGGTGACAGAGGGTGGGGAGTCTGGGGAGCCCCAGCCGGACTCGCACGCAGGTGGGGCAGGTGGGGGACAGGTGGGGGCAGGGTAGGGCAGGGTGGGGACAGGTGGGGGCAGGGTGGGGGCGAGGGTGGGGAGAGGGTGGGGGCAGGGTGGGGGACAGGGTGGGGGGCGAGGGTGGG